CCTTTTTCTTGCTACGTGTGCGTGTTCTTTAGATCCTCAGATGGCTCCAGCACTTTCGTGACCACGGGCCGAGAGTCTTTGCTAGATTTTGGCATTTAGCAACTGGCATACGGTTTAATGTGAAGTCAACAACAACAACAACAACCGTTGATAGGAGGCACCGGGCAACCTTTGGCTTGGGTTAGAAGATCTCGCTTTCCCTCTAGAGAATTATCTTGAAAACCTCCTTCTCGTGCCCCGTTTACCACGCTCCCGCCAGTTGCTGTCTATAACCCCTATCAAATGTCCCCTCCATAATCGAGGGGACAGTTGATAGGGATTATAGACAAGAGACGGCTCAAGTGCGAAGGCAGCTTTGCACTTGGACCAGGGATGGAACTGTCTGCACCATCCAATCAGCAGGCGCCGTTCGCTCTTTTTCTTACATTTCAGAAATTTCGCGAGAACGCCGAATTTTCTGTGCGTGGTTAGGGGCTCCTCAAGACGAAAAAATGTGATAGTCTGTTGAGTCGATTTGAATTCGATATTTTCAGCATGTCGATGGAAAATCTAGCGAAGGCCACCGCCACTTCTTGTGCTGTGAAGCCATGACAACCGGGTGGGCCCGCCTGCGCTCTATGCTTTTGGGCCAAGCCTCAGCAGAGATGCGGTACGTTTTGCTGGCTAGGCTACACTCGATCCCCCCACCGCGAAATGACGATGCGTCCTACGATGGGTACACGTTTGTCTCGGGCGTTCGATATCGCGTAAGAAGCACATGCACGCGTAATGGCATCGGCAGAGGTATAAGGTATCACGTGTGCCTCGCGTACTTTTCTTCGTCGCCGGGAAGCGATGCAGTAGTACTCTGTGTGGCGATGATTGGTGCCGCTAAATAAATTCAAGCGAGTGGACCGGGATTCGTTTGCTCCCTGCAGTCGATAGCTTTCCGTTCGTTCAAGATGGACGCACCAGCCGGGGTCACAAACGAGGAACTTCTCGCCCTTTCCTCCTACCGCGGTTGCTCTCAATCGTTAACGCGATAGGAGTGTGAAGGTCCCTTCCGTCTTCGTTGTGTGTACTCCAACCTCATTTCACATTATTACGAGATCCGGCGAGAGAGCTACGTAAACAGATGCATGCGAAGTAGAAACAAACTAAAGATAAAAGAAACAGACCGAACAACTAACCTCTCTTGAAGACCCTTCCACACATCAAAAATGCCTACCATTCCATAGAAAACATCCGAGATCGACTTCAGCGTAAAATCCTCGGTGCGCAAGGACTAAAGTATTTCGAAATCCTCCAAATGCTTCCTTTGTACACGGTCAACCAGAGCTGCGTACCTCGATTCACGACTGAACGGCCTGAAAAACGTATTTCTACCCCCCCCCCCCCCCCCCCCCCCCCNCCCCCCCCCCCCCCCCCCCCCGGAAAAGCACACGATCCAAAACAAACCAACGATGGGATCAGCGGACCAAGCAAGAACATTATTCGGAGTAACACAGCGCGTAGTCACACAATAATCACCTCATATCACCTGTTTTATCTCCGGGACAAGCAACCAAACAAACACACATGCGTGCACCAAGAGGAGAGTCAGTCTCCAAGACGGTCGGTCTAGCGTGTCACCACCGCTGCTGCCGTTGCATAAAAGAAAAGGCCGTCTCAGTAGCCAGACGACACATACCAACCAGAAACTAACTGAACGCCAGAGGCGCGAACATAATCTGAACGACCACCATCACCCGGAACTCCAGAAGGAATCTAGAGTCCCGGTCTTGGGGCCGGGCGTGGCCTTCTTCGCGCCAGCGGCGGCGGCGGAACCAGCGGCGGCCACGTCGCCATTCTCGCTCACTGCTGCATCTTTCCCTCCTCCATCGGCCGCCGTCTTCGTCGCCGCACCTCCACCACCATCCTCGCCAGCCGCGACCTCGTTTCCGTTTTCTCCGGCCTTACACGATACATCGACGCCGCTACCGTTGCTAACTGCCGCACGGCCGGTGGCACCGGCCGCGGATTCACTCGACGCAGCCGTCCCCGCCATCGGCGCAGTCTTGCTCTCAATAGGGCGGGTCTTGGAGACTTGCGGCGACAGCGGATGCTCGAGGAGCTTGGCCTTCTTCGCCGGCGACTCCGACACCCCGGCCTCCCTCTTGTCCCCGCAGCCGTCGTCGCCGCTGAGGTCCAACACAACCACCTCGGGCACCGGTCGTTTAGCCGTCGAAGGCGTTGTTGCCGCCACCGCCGGCAGCCCGCTCGCCGCGTTCAAAACAGAAGAAACTCCTCCTGCGGCGGCGGCGGCGGTACCGACTGCTGTCGTCCCGCCCCCTACGGCAGCGGCCACGGCACCGGTTGCGGCACCGGTTGCGGCGGCAGCGACCGGGCGATGCACAAGGTCGCCTCCGCCGCCGCCGCCGCCGTCGCCGCTGGTTGCCACCGAGACAACAACGCAGTCATCGGTGTTGCCGCTGCTACCGGTAGACCCACCGCCGCCGCCGCCGCCGCCGCCGCCGTTAACACCGCTTACCGCCGCACTCCGCTGCGGCTGAGCCGGAAGGGAGGAGTGATGCCTGGCGGAGACGAAGGCCGCCGTCTGCAGGGCCTTAATGCGCGACTTCGCAGCTGCGGTGGTAAGCGGCGGGTTCGTCATGGCCGCGAGCGGCTCCATCGGCTCCGCCGACTGGCACCCGGGGACCAGGGAGGCGGCAACTCCGCCGGCGTCATCCGCCTTGATGGTGCTGGGTCCGCCACCGGCCTGGACGCGGGGAAAACGACGACAAACAAGAAATGAAGGAGGAGGAAGGGGTTGGGCGAGGGCCAAGGCTAACGTCGAGAAACGTTAAATTACGAAATACATGCAGCAAGAAGAGACGTCTTAGGGGGGGGGGGGGGG